CCTCACCGTGGGTTCTGGTTCTGGCTACTGGTCTGGATAAAAGGCTGCTGCCGGAGGACCTCAGGATCCACGAGGGTCGATACGGTAAAAGCAGGTCAGATAAATAACTGGGCGCGAGGCCTTTAAGACACTTATAAACCAATAAAAGAACCTTAAAATGGATCCTGAAGCGGACGGGGAGCCAATGCAGCGACCTTAAAACAGGTGTAATGTGATCCCGCCCTCTGGTCCTCGTCAGCACGCGAGCGGCTGAGTTTTGTAATAATTGTAGATTTAAAATATTCTTTTTGGGAAGACCAGAGAGCAGGGCATTACAATAATCTAACCGGCAGGAGATAAAAGCATGCATTAGCACCTCCTGCTGGCCTGAGAGAGAAACGGGCGGACTCTGGCTGTGTTCTTGACATGATAAAACCTATTTTCACTATATTTAGTGCAACAGGATACTAGAGATCGGTTCAACATTTTGTTGAAACAATATTTACAAGTTTTTGAGAAGGTGTAGACAGTAAAGTGGTGTTTCAAAATAAAATGTAATGCTGGTGAGAGCTAAGAATGTAAAATGTAATTTGCCCTATTTTCTTGGATTCAATTGGTTGAAGAACAGGATGGATGAAGATGTTGTGTAAGGTCATTCTGATTGTGTGTCTACGATGAAGAATTATGAGTTAGATTAATAATGATGGATTTATAATTCTGTATGTATAGTGTCCTGGATGACAATTTGTTTCTCTTCCTTATTTTGTAAAGAGTTTTGTAATGAGTTGCTATGTTTGTTTTGTTTGTTGTTGTTGTGTGTATAAGTGTGATTGTGCATGTGTGTGTGGACCCCAGGAAGAACAGCCAGTGCTAATGCTGGTGCTAATGGGGATCCTCATAAACGAAACGAAGTATCGTGGAGCATGTAGTGTCTTCTATGTCTTACTCATTTTGTCACTTTGTTGTCATTGTGTCATGTTTTCGTTGGTTTTGTCCCATTGTGGTGGTTTTGCGGTTGTTCTTCCCCGGTTGTGGTTGTTCACTGTCCTTTCTCTCGGGCGTTTTGTCTAATTTTTTTGTCATCTTTCATCTCTTTGTTGCTGTTTTGTCTCTTTGTGGTCTTTTCTGTCCATTTTTCCTCATTTCATGTCCTGTTATGAACTCTGTCTCTCTTTCATGTCTCTAGATTTTTTCGTTTGTCTCGTGTTACATTTAGGATGTTTGGTTTCATTGTGTTATTTTGCATCTTTCTATGGTTGTTTTTATCCTATTTTGACTAGTTTGTGTCTCTTTGTGGTAACTTTGAGAGCATTTGCTACAAAATTCATATAAACTGGGCAGTAGTTTCAGATATTTCAGTCCGGAACTAGTAACAGAACCAGCATCGGAGATGTGCTTGTCCTGGGAGCTCAGTGTTGCTGGATCACCCAGTCCAGATCCAAGCACAGCCACAACTTACACCCAGAACCTAAATCAAAGTGTTGCTGCACCGATTCACATCATTCAGAACTCCAGTGTTGGCTGCTCACGCCGTCGTCTTGTGTTTCTTTCAGGACCCAACAAACACCAGTCGGCCGTGACCTGCCTGCAGTTCTGTAGAGGTCTGGTTCTGTCCAGCTCTGACGACGGGACGGTCAAACTGTGGGACCTGCAGACCGGAGCCTGGCTGAGGGACGTGGTGGCGCTGCAGAGCCGGGGATCAGGTGAGAGGACAGGCTGGTGGATGTTTCCAACTGTTGAACCGTCTGGTGATACAAGGTGGAGTCATCAGCATAGAAACACACTCACAGAGCTGACTTCTGTTCAGGAACAGTCTGGATCCTTCAGTACCAACGTCAAGAGCAAATATTCTGCACATTCACAGATTTATGCTTTTATTTTTAGGGTCTGGTTTAGGTGTGACGGGCGTGTCGTCACTACAATGGCACCATGTATGCATCAGGAGCTGCAGAAAGTTTACCAGTTCTGTTTTTACCTGATACTCACCTGAACCAATCACACGTCTTTGGCTCCCCCCAGGTGGCGTGGTGTGGCGAATCCGAGCGTCCGACACTCGGCTGGTGTGCGCCGCTGGCAGCAGGAACGGCACTGAGGAGACCAAGCTGCTGGTGCTGGACTTCGATGTGGATGACAAGAAGAAGGAGACGGACTGAGAAGGTCGAAAAGGAGAAGCTGCTGATGACCAAAGTCACGACTGCTGTGGATGTGAAGAGCCTGCTGATTGGCTGGTAGATGGACAGAATAAAAACGTGATGGACGAGTGTCTGAAGCTCTGACCAAAGCTGGGATGGTTTCTATGGCGACGCACTGGTCTCCGTCAGAAGATGTGTTGCTGAATGTAGGACTGAGGAGGCTTTTCCTGCTGCTGAACCAACCAGGAGGCCGACGGCGCTGTTTGATCACCAGATCTACCGAATCCTGACGTCTGAAGACACTCATGCAGCTTTTAGAGGCAACAGAGACGAGTGCTGCTGCAGATGGTTCCACTTTCTTCTCAGTTCGACAGTTTGCAGCTCATCTGCGTCATCTCTTTTGCTCAGAACCTCACGGCTGGACCTGGCGGTGGTGCAAACACTCCTGAAATCTGGGAATCAAAGCTTTGTTTTCCCTTCGTGCAATGAGGGAGGATAGAAATGTAGCAGAGCCTCACACCTGCAGCCGAGTTCAGCTGATTTTAACAGCAGAAACAGAATCTCTGCAAACTGCTTCAGGTTCTGTTTGAATCATTTGCACTTTCATTTGGAAATCGTGAGTCAACGTTGCCAAAGGTGAGATTAAAAGCAAAACGTTTTATTAAAGGTGGAACAGAAACCGTCACTGAACATGTGATCATGAAACACAAAAGCTGTCAGTGGGTTTGAAAAGCATCTCATCTTTAAAAAGCACCAAAATGACACCATTGATCGCAAACTGTTGGAAAGAACATAAAAAAAACCCCAAAAGAAACTGTGAAACTTGTCTCTATCACATGGATTCGGTTGTGTTGTGTGGTCAGAAGGTGGCGCTGTAGGCTGCATCAACTGCAATAAACAGAGGAGAAGAAGACTAACAAACCCAGAAGAAGAAACAAACTAAACTCTGTCATCTACAAAGTTAAAAGGCAGAGTCCAGGAACTGTTTCTGCTCAGAACCGCCGTCGGTGCTGCTGCAGAGCTAAAGTTCAGGTTTCGATGTTTCATCCTCCACACGGCTGTTCGTCTGTCGGGTTCCTCGTCGTTTCATTCTCTGATGACGTCTGAACTAAACTAAATATTGAGCCGACTTCTCTTTCACCTGAACTTCTTTCCCTTCTTCTGCGATCATTCAAACTCAGCGGCAGGTTTAGTTTTGTTGCACCAACTTGTAAATGTTTGTAGAAGCTGGTGGGCAGATGTGCAGGTGTGGATCCCATCTGCAGGTGTTTCAGGTGCGTTACACAGTGACACAGTGTGAATGTACAGATTGAGGTCCCAGTTTTTCTTTTTTTAATTTGCACTTAAAAAGGAACAAAATCTCAGTTTTATTGACCTGAAGGCTGTTTGTGTGGATTAGAGACCTGAAGGTCGAGATGGATCGATTGTTGTGTGACGTATCGGTGTTCGTGTGAGCGAGGCCTGAAGTCCGGATGCTTTGTGACGTTTTTCTGGGGGGAAGTTAAACCAACAGGTGGGAGGTTTGCATCTGCTGCTTTGTGGTTTCTCCGAACACCAAATCAGTCGAGTTTAAATCAGTGATCTGGGATTTTATTTGAAACACTGACGCTGCTGAATGTAAACTCACAGTTTGGTTGATTGTGCCGACTGATGGATGGTTCATATAGAATTACTATAATTATAATGTATATTTATATATAAATTACAAAACATTCCTTCACTCTAGTTTGTAAAGTGTTGGTTTTGTTCTTACGTGACATGAAGGTGGAGGACAGCGGAAGCTTCATGCCGTCATGTTTCTGTAGCTTTTCTTCATTTTCTTTGCTCCAGCTGAGCTGAAGTCAAAGAAACACAGAAGACAGTGAATCCTGCTTACATCCGAAACATGTCGTCACGGTGACACTTTCTGGCATTGAAGTGGAGAAAAACATCATTTTTTAGAAATACTTTTTTGCCCAGTCGTAGAAGATCTTTGATTCCTCACACGAAGGTCACTCCACATGTTTTCCTCAGCTTATGAAATATTTAAAAAAAGATAAATAATTTAAACAACTCCTTTTAGCAGATATTAATCCAATAAGCTGCTGTTGCCAGGCAACACCTCCAGCCAATAGCAGAGGTCTGGGTGATGTTTCCACGGCAACAGGTGCATCTGAGGCAGCAGAGGTGAAGCTGAGCAGGTGAGAGGCTCTGAATCCTGTAACATCCTGTAAATAGTGACGATGTACATACCAGCTTTTATAAAGACAGCCATGACGATGAAACAATAAAGAGGAATTTTACAAAAAGCTGCAGACTGTTGTGTTTCCACTTGATTCTGACAAAAGTCAAGAACAAAAGAGGCGGAAAAGCCTCACACAGACATGAGCCCTGTTTCCTGATGCCGAAGAAACCTGCTGGTGTGAAGCGTCGCCTCTGATTGGTCGAGGCCTCTCAGGTGCTCATCAGTGAGATCCACGTCACCTGCTGGTGGTTGTTAGAAACACAAAGTAACAGCAGCTGGGAGGCTCATGAGTAAAGAAAGCCCGAAAGGTGAGTCCAGACAACAGCCAGCAGCTACAGTGATGCTGGTCGTTGTGTGTCTGTTGTGTAGTTAAGCTGCAGTGTGTTTTACTGCCTGTGGTCATGGCAACACGCTGCAAAGCCTCATGGGAAATATAGGACGGGTTAGCAGGTTAGCTGCATGCTAACACACATATAGTACGTCAGGTCACTGAGTCAGTCTGTTGGTCTGTCTGTAGAGTGTCTGTGTGTGTGTGTGTGTATTTGTAGAGAGTGTGTGTGTGAGACTCTGCAGTACCTGGTTGTTCCACCAGGTGGACTCTGTTTTGTGCTGCAGAGACCAGAGGAGGCGTCACTTCCTGGTTGCTGAGCAGAGAGCATTCTGGGAGTTGCGGTCTGACAGTGAACATTGTTACTATTATAATTAATATGATGTCATGGGTGACTGCAAGGTGGCGCAGTTGGTAGCACTGTTGCCT